CCCCCGCCCCGCTGGGGGCGCCGCGCACGAAGTCTCGGGGCGCGCGCCGTCGGGCGGGGGAGGGGCGGGAGCGGGCGTCCGACCGCCGCAGGTGCGCTCACCAGGTACCACACGCCGAGCAGGATGGTGCCGGTGCGCACATGGCAGCACAGGCAGCAACTGTTGGAGTAGAACCGCGTCCAAGGCGCTACCATCTTCATCGCTCCGGCCCCGGCGCCCGCGCGCGTCCAAGTTTGCGAGTGTAACTGCCACGCCGCCCCGAGTCCCGAGCTACCGCCGCCGGCTCTCCGGACTGCCCTCCCGGCTGCTTCGCTGTTCCGGCTCCCGGGATGCTCGCCTACGGCAGGACCCGCGCGGCACCGAAGCTCTGGACCACTACGAACCAGACCTGGCGCTCCCCAACTGACTACTGCGGCGACGGCGCAGCGAGAGGCGGGGCCAGCACGGCGAGGGGCGGGGCGATCTTGGTCACGTGACCCGTATGGGGCGGGTGAAGTCACTGCAGGGCCCAACGGCTCTGGCCTCCGAGAGCGCAGGGAGAGAATAAATAAATACATCATCCCCGCTCCCGGCCAGCGCCTGCCGTGGAGTTCCGGGCCTTCCCGCTCTTCGCTAGTCAGGGTTCCGGGTCCATTCCCAATCTAGTCTGTTTCATCCCCTCCCCCTCGTTCTCTATCTTGTAGGTAATTCCCAGGAGCTGTGCTGTCCCTGTGAATATCGAGCAAAGTGGAGGAAGCAAGCCTGCATATGATTCCTGTTCACCGCAGTACTTTGAACCGCTGCCTAGCCCGCTGCGAGCAGCCGGTCTCTGCTTCCCAGCTCAATGACTGGTAATAATTTTTTCCCAGAAAAGAAGATGTGCGAAGGGCATCCTCGCGGTGCTTGGGTAGCGGTTTTAATCGTGACTGCAGCTGTGGGGAAACACTTATCGAGCCCGCGGCTGCCACGAGGTATCTGCACGACACAACATGGAACTGATAGGACCAGGGCTTGGAGCGGGCCTTCCCCGCAGCTGGTGTTTGTCTCCACTGCCGTCCTCCAGGGTTGGCCTCGGACCACCGGGAAAGCCAAAAATCCCAGAAGGCTTCGATTTCTTAGCACTTGTGGAAGCTTGATTGCAGATACCGAGCATGACAAAGACAGATTCGATTTAAATTTTTCCGGGTTATTTCAGTTTCTTTTGTGTAAGGATTAACTTGATAATCATGACAATTGAAAGTTGCCTGCGGGAAATTTGGCTGTTACCTTCCAGATCCTGAGTTGTTGGGAAGCCAGGTAAACAGCATAGTTTCAGTTTGGCCTGGTGGACCTTATCATAAGTGACTCCGCTTTTACTTGAGTTTTGTTCCTCCCCTTTTTTATTAGTATATATTTGTGATACACAATCATATCATGGGGAATCGGTGCATCTTGATCCCACTTTATCGATTTAAGTCTCCAAAGGGCAGGTTAGAGAGGAAGAAGCGTAATGTTAGATAAAGCTAAAGCCTGGCCTGGGTTCTTCTTTTACAAGGCGGTCCAGCAGCCATATATTCAGTACATAGCTTAAACCAGGCGATGAAGAGGCAGAGCCAGCCCCGGACATACGGCACAGCAGAAAGTAGTGAGTAACACTGTTCAGAGAGTTAATCGGAAACATCAAACAGGAAAGCTTGGCTTTTGTTTCCCTTAACATTGGAGATAATTTTCTCTGTGGGACCTTGCATTTAGTATGGGCTGCAGGGTTGGCTCAGTGATTGAGTTTTTCTGCCTAGCACATGGCAGGATTCAATCTCCAGACGAGGAGAGAGATTAATATTTAATTATGCCACAGCCATTTCTAGTGTGGGAATATGGGCTCAGAATGAGGACCACAGCCTTGAAAAGGGCTTTTGTGATTCGCACTCCCAGAAACTTCCCGTAGCTACCTCTCTTTTTCTTCCCCACCACAACTTCAGATTTCTAGGGTGATGAGTCATCGGTACTATGGCATTTGGTATTTCAGAAAATTTAGCATACAAGATCTGAAGTCATGGTATTGTAGAACACAGAGGGGGCCGGGAAGATGGCTCAGTAGAATAAATGCTTCCCTGGCAAACGCAAGGGCCTGAGTTCAATCCTTGATTCCGCAGAAAAACAACAACAACAACAAAAAAAAAAACTGAGGTGAAAATATCCTAGGCAGTCAGACAGGGCTGGGCCCTGGAGGAAGTCAGAGCAGGACAAAGAAATACATCCAGATTGCATCTGAGGAAGATTAAAAACACAATGGCTAAGGGATAAAGAGAAGTTTGAGATTATTGTTATCACCCTTTTCAGATTTCCCATTATCTCATTAAGGGTGGGCCATCCACTCCACCCACTATAGGAAAGGCAAGACTATAGGCCGGAACTGTGGGCAACAAAGGCAAGGAGGGTGAGGAGGCACCACAATCCCCAACTTGAAATTATATGAGGGGGGTCCGGGGAAATGGCTCAGTGGAATAAGTGCTTCCCTGGCAAGTGCAAGGGCCTGAGTTCAATCCCTGGTTCCACCAAAAAAAAAAAAA